AGTGCATTAAATGGCGAAAAGTACCGGAATTTTCTAGAAAAAGATCTGCAGATCGTCATGACGGACCTTTTGGAGGATGTACCACTAGCACGGCTCCAAAACATGTGGTACCAGCAAGATGGTTGTCCTATACATTATTCGACAATTGCTCGAATTGCTCGAGAGGTGTTGGATCGGGAGTTCAATGGCCGGTGCACCGCGGTGGATCGGTAGATGTGGTCCAGTAATTTGGCCTGCTCGATCACCTGATCTTACGCCACCAGACTTCTTCCAGTGGGGTTACTTGAAAGAAAAAGTTTACGCTGCAATTCCTACAACTTGGGAGGACATGGTGGAGCGGATCAGGAACGCCTGTGCGGCGATACCGCCCGATATGTTGGCGCGTTGTGTGCCAGAATTCATTACCCGCATTCAAAAATGTGTTGAAATGGAATGACGACATTTCGAACATTTGTTATAAATTGTTTTCATAGCCGACTATTGTTGTTAATGTTAATTTTTGTTGTTCAAACGTTTCAAATAATACATTTTACAAGGAAACTCATTTTTCTTAAATTTTGAATTACAGCGCCATCTGTTGATAAATTGAAAAAAGTTTTAAATAAAAGGTTAATGTGACCAAAGGGGACATTATTTGGTGCTACCGCTAGCCACCCCCTACCCCTCCTTAAGGGTGAAACGGGGGGTAACTTTGGAAAGTCAAGTGGAATTTTTGTATGTAGTACCAAACTCTGTGAAAAAAATCGGGTCATTCCATTTGACTTTCCAAAGTTACCCCCCGTTTCACCCTTAAGGAGGAGTAGAGGGTGGCTAGCGGTAGCACCAAATAATGTCCCCTTTAGTCACATTAACATTTTATTTAAGACATTTTTCCGTGAAATGCGTATTTCTCGGGATATTGAGCTGTCTCAAGTTAAAAGAAACACCCTGTATATAGGGTTTTAATTGAAAAAATATCAATTTATAATTACCTATTAACTCATCATTCTTTTTAAAATTTTTGTATAAAAGATAAAAAAATATTACAAAAAAATAAGTATTAAGTAAATATTTATTATCGTTTATTAAACGTACAAAATAATGTTTCAATTATAAAAATTAATAAAACTAGTACATATATAAAAGGTCGCATAAAAACTTTTTTGTTTTAAAACCTTTTTTGATAAAACCATTACCATTAGCCATTTCCCTAATTAAAAAATGAACTCCAAAAACATTTATAAAACCACTTATACACGTTTCCAAATAAGTATACTTACGTAGCCAGCTACGTAGGTTGAAGCTGGGTAATGGCGGCAGCTTCAAAACGCATCAAACCAAAAACGTGAAATCGTCGAATCAATTGGCCGCCCCATAAAGTGAATCCCGTCTCAAACTGTCTTGAAACTTCCTGCGGGATCAGAGATGTCGACGAACGGGAGGCGGCAGTGGTCGCGAGGGGGAGAATCAAACGTGCCGTGAAAATACGAGAGAAAGAGGAGGGAGATGCGACGATGCCAGTTTTTTAGTGTTGCCAAGTTTAAGTTTTCCTACATTTTTTTTATATGGTTTACTTGCCCAAGCAACACAAAATCGTCTAATAGACGTTTAATATTTGTCTATACCAATGGTATATCATTGGTTTATTGTCTACCTCTAATATAGGTTAAAATGTCCGCCTAATATAGGTTGATGCATATTATAGCAATATCCATATTTTAAACGTCTACACTATACGTTTATTTATAATACAAACTTGACAATTAAATATCTGTTTTTTATAAAGGTTACATTTTAATATATAATATACCAAAATTAAATGTTTATCAAAAACTTCTAAAAGCCATAAACGATATACGTTAATATTGAATATTATTTTAAGGCCTAAACAATAATGTTATAACATTATTGTTTAGGCCGCGGCTCTGCTAATCTGGAAAAAGAAAATAAAAACAAAAGTTTTTATATTTGAATGATTTTTCAATATTTTTAGCTCCATTTTCATTAAATTAAAATCGTAAAACCATGCATGGTTTTACGGTTATCAATGCATTGATAATTAAAATTACAGTATTTACTAGGTATATTTATTCTTTGCATTTAATTTAAGTGCGGCATATTCTTTCCAGATTTGCAAAAACTTACCTAAGTGTAGTAGAAACTCCAAGGTAAAAAAAAAGTTTAAAAAGAAACTGAGCAGATGACAAACGAATATATTTTCATAAATAATTATGTATTATTTTAAAATAACTAATTAAACAAATGTTAAGTTTTAACATCATTGAATCATTGCTTTGATAATTTGAGCCAATCTTGACAGGCTTGTCCTATGGCTTTGTCAGTTATTTCCCTGGACTTGATCTTTTCCTTGAAAGGACAGTTTCACTGCCTCTGTAAAACAGTAAAAAACAATGTTACTAAAAAGTGCGACTGTTTACGTATATTTTAAATAACTTTTAACTTTTTATTCTGTGGTAAAATAAAAATATAATAAATAATAAAAAAACACAATTCGTGTTTTTAAGTGGTTATAATGTACGTTTATAAATAGTATACCATAAACCAATAATAGATCTTTAAAAAAAATAAAAAATATTGATTATTTTAAAAATTCTGAAGTGATGTTAACCTAATCCAAAAATAAACCATCTAATTTAATGCAAAACGAATATGTCGCATGGTTAAAACTTCTGCAAAGGTTACGGATTTTTGCCGGCTTTGTCAAATAAAAACACCAATTATTAGTTATTTGGTGCAAATTAAGTAATCTGAAATTTCAATTAAAGTAGGTATACTTACTTTATTAGCTGTATTCCCACCAAACAATACAATAAATTAATCGCTATCCACTCACAGTAAACAGTAAACATAACTTATACGGCAGCCATTATCAACACAGGACACATGTGACCGGTAACGGCAAAACGAAGCGTCTAGAAGGAATGATCACGTGACACGCGCCTATTGGTTTAAACAATCGTCTTAGGTACGAGTAATACCGAAACAGTGCGAACCATGAACATATGTATACAAGTATTATGAAGGACGTAGATTTCTCGTATTTTTAGACGTAGATTTCTCGTATTTTTAGACGTTGAGCTTACATAAAAGTATATATATAAAAAAAACGTTTACAAAACACTTGAATGTAAACAAATTTGATAAGGGTAAATAATTCCAAATTCTTATTTATATATAAACATGCTTTATAGTTGTTTTTATAATATATATAGATTGGGTGATTAATATAAATTTATATATTAAATTGATAATTTTATGATTTTAAAATAGTATATCAAGTACGTAGAATATACGACTGAAATATGTACGTTTATAAAAAACGCTTAATATATGTTAAATAATTATACCAAAACCAAAAATATACGATTAAATGGTTTATTATACGTTTATTAAACGATTATGCAAATGAGTGTGTTGCTTGGGTGGATTATTTTTCCTTAAAAATTAATTCCAAATGTTTAAAATCATATATCATAATTTCAACATTAAACCAATCCACAAACCAAATTTTATTAAGGTCGGTCTACAAATATAAATAGTTGTAGTGAATAATTAAAAACCCAAAAAAGTATACTTATCAGTAACATATTCTATAGCCTATTAAAATATCTTTTTAATTTGATTACAATTGTCCACACAATACATAGATGGAAAATGAAGTTCGTATTATCCGAAAGTTCGTTATTTGCCAAAAAATTAATAAAGTTCGTATAGGACTTTGGATGGTACTATTCGAGTTGGTTTGTTTTAACCAAATGTTCGCATTTATAAATGCGAACATTTGGTTAAATTTGGTAAAAAATAATTAACACAAATTTACACGCCAAAACACCAAACTGTGTTTTTCCAAGTCCACACGAAATCGTGTAAAATTTTAACACATAATTATAATCAGTGTGTTGATTTGTTTTTTATATCGTGTATAATGTACACGAAGAATAATGAAACTTTACATTGTTTGTGTAATTTTTACACAACTTTAGGTATTAAATTGAACACCAGTTCTACTTTTATTAAACAAAAATATTTTATTATTTCAATTAGACAAAATATTATATTATAATATTTTTATATAAAACAAATTATTAAAAACATTTAAAAAAACAACTTATAATATTGTAGAATTAACAACTGTTCTGACCAGCGAAATTGTTAAAAACAAATACTGCCCTGCTTGGCTAAAAGGCCGCATCTACTTTATAAAGTAATAAAGGAAACAAGATAATTTTAATTGTTTAAAACTTACTTACCTAAATAAGATAAAATGTCATGGGTTACTGGCTAATTTTTCAATTACCCACTATGTTTACTGAAGTCAAAGTTTAAATTTCATATTATATATAAAGGGGTAAGAAGCAAAAGTGTACAAGTGCATAAAAGAGAAGTGGAGTTATTAACTTTTAAAGTTTTTGCTGTATACAAAAATCTGGATATTGTTTTAATATTGTTGTGTGCATTAATTAAGATGCACACCTCGTACAATTTTCTCGATATGAGAAAATTAAAAAAAAATGGTCTAAACTACCCAATTCTGCACTTAACTTATTTTCATGCTAAAATGCACTTTTACCCTTTTGTTTCTTACCCCTTCATATGTATATGGATGTGTTTATTAACGTTGTATCACAAAATAATCTTTAAAAAAAAAAAACACCAGCACAATATATCTATAAAAAAAGAAAACACACACAATGGCGATCAGCCTTGGCACTAAGGGTGAGTCAAATTTTACACGATATTTATTAAAATTTACACAACTTTGTGTAACACGATATTTATTAAATATGAGTTTATAACACATTAACGTGTAAATTAACAAGTGGTTACACGTTTTACTGTTGATTTTAGGAACATTCGTGTAAAAGTATTTGCACGATTTTTACACAAAATTTACACAAAAATTTTAACACAAAAAAGAGAATTTACACACTGATATTTTTTGCAGTGTAAAGAAAATTACTGCACTTGATATTTTAATGTTTTTGTTTTTGGCTTTGCAGGTTTGGTTTCAAAACAGGCGCGCTAAATGGAAGAAAAGGAAGAAGACCACCAACGTTTTCAGAACACCCGGTGCTTTGCTACCATCGCATGGTCTTCCTCCTTTTGGTGCAATGGGTGATGGTATATGTGGGTCGTCCATGTTTAGTACTACTGAAACAAGATGGGGAGTCGCTGGAATGGCTACAGGTAACTAACAAATTATAAAAAATATATAAAAAGAAGTATTTGTTAAAACAATTAACTACTTCTTTATCGAAAAATATAAATATCTATTTTATATATTTGAAGATTTTATTTCAGGGTTGGGACAACTGGGACAAGGTTCAATGGGCGGTTTCGGTCAGTCTCTGGGACAACTTAATCAAGGATCAGGGCTTAGTCCGGCCCTGCCCATCAGTACGGCAGCAGCTAGTACGGTCTACCAAGCACATTATGGACTTAATTCACTGGGTGAGTCCGAACATTTAATTCCATTTTATTATATTCTTTACAACTATACCTACTTTAAAATCTATACCCCACTATTTTTTTATTAAAATATAAAAAAATTTACATAAATATTATTAAAATTATAATATTGTTAAGTTGTTTGGTTGTTCTAATCGTTTTTAGAATTTTAAACAATAGTTATTGGGTGCCAACATACACAAGGGTTATCTCGTTAATAATATGGTAATTTATAACGATGTAAATCACAGCAACTAAGTCCAATTAGACCGTTATTAACGTATAATTCACATAACGTGAGAGTTAATTAAACCGAAGCTAAGCTGTTAAGTAATAGTTGAGGTACGATCTGTTAAATATAAATGTTGCTTTGTGCTTGGACAAACACTATTTTTTTATATTTTTATTGGTTTTACTAAAATTGTTAGACACTTTTAAGATCCAAGTCCATTAACGACAGCTCAGACATAATTTTGGGATATACGAAGGTGGATTAATAAGTATCCGTGTTTGAAAAAATTTCAAATTGAATTGAATAATGAATTATTAAGAAAAAAAAAGGCAGAGTAACTTGTATGGATTATTTAAGTGTAGAATGTTGTCGGACAATAATTCGATACCAAGAAATTTAATGGCGTTAGTATTTTTGGTGCTCACAGTCCTTTTCCATTTAATTGGCATATTTTTTACTTTAGATTATGCAGGTACTTTTAAATAATAAGATAGATGAATATTATCGACAGAGTCATTATCATTTTTGCATTCATCTTCCACATTAGATATCTTTAGGTGTAGATCGAGTGAAATTTTGCGAATAGCCTGAGCTTATATAGCGACCGATCTCATTGGTCTGACTGGAAATTTAAAAAGACGACTTACGACAATTTTAGCCCAATTGCATAACTTTTTTGCGCGGAGCAGCGCAATAAGAAGGTATGTTGAATATTTATTAAAAAAATACATTTTTTGATAAACAGCCAGTAGCAAGGAAAGGAACATTTAGAGTAACAGTTTATAATGTTATTATGGATATGGTTGTAAAATCGATGACGAAACGCTTTTCAAAAAACATGGATTTATGCTGCAGTATATTTATATTGTATCCAAATTCTTTTAAAGAAATAAACGCATCAAAATTGACTAGTATGACTCAACTATCACACCTACAGTCCAGAAAGAAGAACTCACTAGTTTGCGGCTGTTATAATATTAAATTGTCAATTGCAGTGCAATAAAATCAACTATGATTTAAACGTTAATGATGTTGATGTCACAAAGAGGAAAATAATGACGAAGTTGATAGTGCTGACCCTGACACATCTAAGTCAAAGAATTTAAAACCTGAATAAAAAATTGTCAAAATTGAGTATTATTTTGTTATTAACTGTAATATTAAAACACAACATTTTTAGGGGGACAAGTCCGAATTCTAACCCTTTTAGCCTAAAACGAAATTTAGATAAATAAAAAAATTGCGAAAATTTTTAGCGAAATCAATTAACTCTCTAAAAATGAATTAGTCAAAAATAACTAATTTAATAGTTAATAGTGGCTGCTGTTTCACTTGTGCCATGGTTAACCATCGAATACCATGGTGTCCCAAAATTTAATAGCCAATTCTTATGTAAAATTTTACCCTGAATCCGAAAATGTCTTCAAAAGTTAAAAAAATAGAACAGTTTTTGAGATATAGTAAATTTTTCATTTAATATGGAATTGACTATATCTCAAAAACTGCTCCACTTTCATAACTTTTGACGGTATTTTCAGATTAGGAGTACAATTTTACATAAGAATTGGCTATTAAATTTTTGGATACCATGGTATTCGATGGTTAACCATGGCACAAGTGAAAAAGAAGCCACTATTAACTATTACATTAGTTATTTTTGACTAATTCATTTTTAGAGAGTACATTAACACGTGCCGCAGAGCAATTGAAATTTTCAGTGGGAAATTGATTAATGTATTTTTTACAGCCTTTTATTTAAACTTGTAATAAAAGCATAATAATTAATAAAGAATTATCAAACTTCGCACAGTTTATAAATACGATAAAAACCATCAAAAACCATTTTTCCCGAATTATTAATACCTACCCTGTTGAGAGTATTTGAATAAGTTTGAAATATTAAAAAAAAACAACTAAAAAAAAAGGTTTTGATGCTTCCTATCTTGATCATTTTTTAGGCCGGGGCATAATTTGGTTTTTTAAAAAATAAGCTTCACCTTAAAACTTATTTATAACCTATATGACTAAGTTGCTTGTAAGCGATAATTTTTTAAAATACATTAAAAATCGTTTGCGCAATTGGCTTTAGAATACTTTATGAAAATTAACATTAAAAGTAAAGTCCCAGAAACCATTGACAATGAAGATGTGTTAAACGCATTTTAAAAAAAGCTTTATTATATTAGTTTTACTTTTGATTAATTTATGACTGAGCTGTTTGTTGTATTAATAATAAATTTTAATTCGTATTTTGGTTTTTTAAGTTTTATTTTTTTCGTATTAATGAAATGTTTTCTTACACTGCACACGGGGTAGTTTAATTATATACCTACTATTTGTCCCTGTCTATAGGGTGGGTTTAGGACAATATCTTATTCTTTAGCATTTAAGTTTTTTAACGTTTTTTTAGAGCATTTTAAAGTTTTAAAACGGTTTTGGCACATACATTTTTACGACAGTTTTAAAACCACTAGAATTAAATTTCTGATAACATTTCTGCTGTTAAATTATAAATTACAAACATGAAATTTATATTATATAATTATTTAAAAAAAATTGCTCTTTTATTGCATACTAATTGGGTCATTTCAAAGGCCAATTAAATTGTGTAAACAAAGGCCAATGTTAGGTATCAAATAATAGCCAATGTTTGTTCAAAGGAAATGACCAGTTTGGGCAATAATCATACAATTTTTGTATTTCGACAATATTGGTTGTCACAATTTAAACATTTTAGACCGTGTTAGGGCATTCTTCTATGTCAATGGGCCACTGATAGTGATAATTTAGGATATTTTAGACAGTTCTGAATGATTTAAGGATATTTTTACACAATTCTATAAATTTAAGGACGTTTTAGAATATTTTAGACCGCTCTTATAAGGCTGTTTAAGAGTTACTAGGCTCTTTTGGGTTATAGTACACTAAGGGTAGTTGTAAGGTAGTTGTAAGAGCATTTTAAGACGGTATTTTAAAATTTAAAAGAATATTAGGCATGACTAGTTGTATTGTTTTATAAAAAACGTAGATGTTTAACTATTGCATTCTAATAAAATAAATATTTTAACATAGGTACTCCATTCACGGGCAATTGGTAGCTAAGCAATGTAACAAAATCATTTCAAACACTTCTACATTAAATCGTGTTTATTCAACTAATTAGAACATTTGACGTGTAGCTCGGTAGCAAAGTAACGAGGCTGTTTTTAATCACTGCTAATTGTACGTGTTGCTCGGCCCCCTGCCCCCCAACACGTCCCCCTTTAATGTACATTCGAAAAAAGGAATGCCACACCAAGTTGTTACATTCAAGTCGAAGGTGTCAAAAGTAAAATTTTTGTCGTCATCCGTGGGTTTGTTTGCACTGGCTGGCTCGCATGACCGGTCACCATTTATTTTTCTGTTCTGTGTTTGATCACGGATTTTATGGTGTTTCGGACTAAAAAATAAAACGACCGTTTTTTCGACTTTACTGCTGAGAAATAAAGAAATAAATATTATTGTCTGGGACTAAGTAAATTTTGCCTTTGAATGTGTAAAATTGAACATACACTAACACTAACAATGCAAATATATCGGGTTCAAAATTAGCCAATCTTAAAGATTTCAACGCACTAAAAAAGTTTGTTTAGATCAGTCTTTAGGATATGCACGCACCATGCAAATGATTGTTTGACATTTAAACATTTAAACAGGGGCTATGTCCCGAAATTAGGGGGCCAAACTTAAACAGTGCATTCTTTATAGAAAAATAACACTTTTTTGTTTAATAAACATATATCAAAAAATGCCCCCTAACGGAGCTACGCCCCCCTAAATAGGAGCTTAAGAGCATCATTTTTTTAAAACTATTCCTAGAGGGTTGAACATGAAGACCTGAATTTTTGGGACTTTGGTAATTTTGACATTCTGAATCTGGATCTATAATCAAAACTGTTAAAATTTAATTATAGGCGTAACATTTGAGGGGGCAAATTTACAAAAACAGCCCCAACTTTTTGCAGAGTGTGTATTTTAATGTTTTGTTATAAAATTATGAAAATGTATAGTTTTTCACGAAAAATAGGTACTCTTGCTTTGAATCGCTCAGATGCACCATTTTCGAGAAAATTGCAATTTAAATTACTATGCTTAGCATAATTTCTAATATTTTCATTAAAAAGCTTTGGGACAAAAGTGACGTTTGGGTTATTTGCTGACTTTACATTTATTTTTATAGTTTAGTTAATATTTTTTGGCTCGATTTTTGTTATTTTTTATTAAGGAGCGATTTTCCAAATTTTAACACAAAATTTTAACGAAAATGAGAGGTGTGTATGCTATGCAAAGCAATTCATAAATGCATTTTTCTCGAAAATGGTGCATCTGAGCGATTCAAATCAAGACTACCTATTTTTCGTAAAAAACTATAAGTTTTCATAATTTCATAAAAAAAAATTAAAATATTATCTCGGAAAAAAGTTGGGGCTATTTTTATAACTCCCCCCCCAAATGTTACGCCTATGATTATTTTTTAACAGTTTTGATCTTGGATCTTGATTCAGCATCTAAAAATTACCAAAGTGCCAAAATTTCATTTCTTCATGTTTAACGCTCTAGGAATAGTTTAAAAAAAAAACTATTCTCTTAGGCTCCTATTCAGGGGGCCGTAGCTCCGTTAGGGGGCATTTTTTTATACATGTTTATTTAACAAAAAAGTGTTACTTTTCTATGAAGAATGCACTGTTTAAGTTTGGCCCCCTAATTTCGGGACACCCTGTATATAGTATTT